CAAAAATTGCTAAAGGTCGCTTGATGATAATTTAACGTTGAAGTTTGCCTTGATTGACTGACACTGATTTTCGAGCTGAATAAACGTCCAATTTCTTGCTCATCATTCTTTGATGTCGACCTCGACCTCATACTAATCGATGTTGTGGAATCAATAAATGTAGGTACTATTTTGTTTTTAGAGTTCTTCCCATGTTGAAAACGATGATTTATTAAAGTATTACCTCTGAAAATATGCCCTTTCATAAACTACCACAACGATGATTTTGATCAGAAAAAAATTGTCACAGAATTATTAAAAATGACTGGCATGCTTGGAAGTAAGAGTATACAATCGCGCAATATATCAAATCAAATGAACCTACACCATTAAAGCCGAGCCCAACTCAATCAGATGCTGAGGATTGTGGCCAGTGTCGATTAAATCTAACCACAACAAATCTGTGAGAATGTGCATTAATGACTTACACAGAACAGGTTTGCTAATCCTTTATAGTAGAATTTAGCCTGACAACGATTATTCATATTTGTTATCTGGACAAGTACAAAACTTTAAATGCAAGGAAATTTTGAGTCAAAGGAAATTTTTGAACGTAGCGAAAGCTTGGAGATAAACTCCTAATTATTCGTTCCTAAAATCAAGGGTAATCTTTGAGAGCTGAGTTTTTCTTTGCACAAAAATTGAGCGTCAAAAACGAATTATTATACATTTGTTATCTAAAGATTTCGTTATTCGTGTCATAGTTTGCATGACAATGAACAGATTCGGAACATTATTTTTTCAAAAATCCAAAACGGTTAATAAAAGCTGAGATATATTATAAGCAGAGGTGGGCAGTAGCGCGCTACATGTAGCGGCCGCTACATTTTCAGTAGCGGTAGCGGTAGCGGCTCTACATTTAAGGCGATGTAGCGGTAGCGGTAGCGCCCGCTACATATTTAAGTAGCGATACGAGGTTTTGCCGCTACAGCGCTGCCGCTACATTTATAGATAAAGCCTTTAGATTTCACTTAAGGGGACCGGCTACCCTCCAACAAAACTTTTTTGTTTACAGACGGATCGTTTTGAAACTTGGTACACATATGTAAAACAGAAAACTAAGACCTTTTTGTTCATGTAAATTTAAAAAAATGAAAGAAAACGTGGAATTAATAGAAACGGCAAATAAGGGGTAGGGTAACATGGGGCAGCGAGCCCACTGCGGGTCACGGGCCCATAGCGGGTTTCTCGCTAAGTATGGCNGGCCATACTTTCAAAACTCGCTAAGTGAACGTAAGTACTTACGCTCTATTTTCTTGTCTATGATTGGTGGATTTTGCTTGAAAGGCCGTCAATCATTGGCTGATGAACTTACGATCTCTTAACTTTTTTTGAAAGTATAGGCCCCGCGTAACTCACTGCCAGGAGACAAGGACGGCCGAGCTCGAAGAGCCCGAAGATCATGAAACGAGGCATTCGTTCCAGCTCCACCTGAATGCCACGAAGCTGCCACACCATCTGCATCAATTTTATTCAGTTTACGGGTGAATCTTATCTTAATATAAAGTGAATAAAATGAATGAGTGATGAAAAATTAGTATATAAAAGCTAGTGACAATCTGTATACGTTCTTTTTGACTGGCTGACTGATTTATGAGGTAATTGGAAATTGTACCAGAGAAAATCCAATAACAAGAGATTTAAGTATTAGATTTGAGAAAAAATAAGTAGGCAAGCATCAGATGAATTATTCTCTTTTAAAGTTAATGTTTGGAGGTGTGTATGCCTTCAATTTTATTACAGTTGATCAAAATAATGTTTGTCGAAAGGATACGAACTCTGTATTGAAGCCAAATGTGACAAATATTTTACGTAAAAAATGTCCATAGAATTTATTAACACTCAAAACGGTCCATAGACAATTTGGACATATTGCACATATTATGGGACTATAATTTCAAATGGGATCAAAGGTACTATGAAGATCTAAAACTAAAAACAATGTGTTTTCTGTTAAGTACTACAATTAAATTTCAAATTCAAATTATGTATTTAAGTTTCAGCACCTTCTTATAACGGGGCCCCATGCAGGCAATATCAGCCTGACGCTTCTTGGCGCAGTAAACTCCATCTGCGCACTGCAACAAAATTTACCATTGATGAAGCATTAATGTATGTATCTATAATGTGATTATGGTTTTCTCATGTAAATTTTTGAATTCATTGTTAATCTCCCGTATTCTATTTGTTATTGCCAGACTTTTGAATATGAAACGAAAAAAATTACACATGAACAGAAACGACGAAAGAGATCGGGTATATTTTTTTCCGTTGCTTGACAGAATTTTTTTTCATATGCGGGCTTCCAGCCTATTGAGAAGCCAATATTATGTATAGAAATGATATTCCCGTTGAACAAATCTGGGTAAACTTGCGAAGATTGGTGTGAAATATTTAATATTGACAATTGAAAAAATATAATTAAGGCCGAATTAACTCATTCACACCGCGAATACGTGCTCTTTCCTACACTTCAGACACATCGGAATCAACTTGCTTTGTTTGGTTTTCTTAACAAAAACATTTGCAGCGGATTTCGTTTTACTAAACTTTGCAGTAGCCTTTGAACTTACTTCTGGCATCACGGCATCATTGAAAATTAGTTCTAGTTTTTCGGTAGAGATTCCGACGCTGTTAATTAAAGTTAACAAATTAGCATCGAATGCATGCATATCATGGAAAATTATCCTCTGATTGTGAACAGGTTCCAATGAATTGTATGTTCTCTTTCCAAAAGTAAAGAAGGTATCCGCTCATAGATTAGGAGAATTTGATCGCAAATTTATTATTGCTGAATCTAGAAAACAAAATTTCTAATTCTTTTTCTAAGGCGTCTTCTTTACCTCCTCAAAAATTTATATTTAACCTCATTCTTATTTGTGATTCAAATTCGCAATAAAATTTTGACACATTGTGAATGTGATGAATTAAAAAATTGATGGAATATTTTTATTTACTTGATCTATAAAATTAACAATCTATGTATAAAAAATGTTATCTTGTTCTATGGGTAAACAAAAATCTCAGTAAGTCCTATGATTCTATATTACACTCACCGCACTGACGTAGCCAGCCTGAGAGTTTAGGACGAGGTACAAAACAAGCGCTGTAATGGCAGCGTAACCCATAGACGTGCTGAGGCTTTGAGATGCGTCGTATAAGGCGTTCGCCGTTCAGCGTTATCATCATTATTTCCAATTGCTCAAAAGCCAAAACTGCGAACACCGTAAAGGAAAAAATCTTTTGAATAAGTACCACAGCGCGTCTAATTTTTATGATTCCTCGTTTGACGTCTTCCATGCTTGTCTGTTTCCAATAATCAGACGCAGAACCTCCGCGCTCTGAAAATTCATTTCTCAACGAAATAACGTGGCGTTCGGTTATCATATGGCCCATCTTTCCATAGGTGTACAACACGCGATTAATTTGATTTAGGTCTGCCGTCATTTCCCCCATGAGCGTATTGAGTGTAATGACTAGAGCAAAGTACGGGAAGTAATTGAAATAACTAACTATTACCGATAACGATACTTCAAGCATGCCACGTGTGGTCCGTACGTCCTTCAGAATATTACGATTGTTTTCAGCAGACAGGGTGTAAATGTTGTAGGATAACGGCATCAAGACGATCACACCCAACATGGGAATTCTAGCGCCAAGTTTTTGAGGTGTCGTCGTATTGCACCGCAAAAGTCGCAATAGTTTCACAATATTTTTCGATGCTGATAAGATATGAATCCATCTCAAGGTCAGCATTATCGCAAAAAAGAATGGTCCCCACAATACATCAATTGATTCGAATATATCATCGTTCCGTTTTGGAAACGGGAATATTAGCCAACAGGCGAGGACAGCGTAAGCAATGTTCAGGACGATGGTGAATCCGACTTGTGTCTGGGATAGAAAGTATTTCCCGTTGCTGTAACCGTACGGGGCTAGTCCAAGCAGTCGCAGAAAATTAAATTCCCATTTCAGTAAACGTGGAATGTTGTAGTTGTGTGCATCCATATTGATGTTGGCACTTCGGATCTTTCTATTTTTCTCTTTCGTATAGTTTAAAAAGACGCTGGAGTTTACACGTAGAGCTGCATGTTTCAAGAGCGCTGCTCCTGAATTGCTGAATATTGCTAACAAACTAAAGTAGCGGCTGAGTCAAATTACGGCGGTCATGGTTATAGACAAACAACTTGAACTGAGTAGCACCGGCTTTTGTTTGATGATAAAATCAAACAATTTTTCACGGCCTAGCTGCTTTGATATGTCTCTTTTATTTTATTTATATAATAATATATAATTGCAAGATATTCCGCAAGGTTTCCAGTTCCTTAAGCAAACAGTCTGTTGAGTCTAGTCCCATTTGCTGTAATTATTCAGAATATGGTTTCTTTATATTGTCGATCCCATCGGCTTCCGTTTAAAATTACAGTTTTAATTTTAATTTCGATGCCAAGCAAACAATTTCGATAAACTTTCGGCTACGCCAAGGTTGTCCTCTTGGATGGGGCTTCGTCGTGCGCTCTCTGCCTAAGCTTACTGAGGAAGAGGCACTCGAGGCTTTGAAGAGTTTGTGGCTGACCCAGCTTCCTGTTTACTCGTATATAAAGTATGCCAATAATAATACCTCATTCTTAAGGTAATTTAAATCAGAAGAAGGTGAAGTTAGCGTCCTTTGACACATGCAAGAGAGCACAATATATTCATCAATGCTCCTTCATCCAGGCTAGGAAGGGAACATTGATGTGAAAATTATGCTTAAGCGTTGTACTGTGGGTGCAGCAAAATTTTGTTGTGCACTGTAATGTTTGTAGTCTGTATAGATGTCATCTATGCTGGAAAGGGGCTTCAATTTTACCCCCCAAAGGTAGACATTACATTGACTGATTTCGTGAATTTAGCCAATCAATTCACGAATGAATAATTCTATTAAACGGAATAACTGAGTAACGTTGCGTGGTTGTCAGCGAGGCTCTGACTGTGTCGAGCAGAATGGCGGATCGATCAAGGAACGCTACACGGACGTGTGGTTTAATATTTAGTGATAAAGTATGATAATTAAGACAATGTGCTCAAATCGAAGATGAATGCACGCGAGGGTTATGCTGGCCGCAAATTTAGTGCGCTTTCACGAAAATTGAACATTAGTCATCAACAACATGTAAACATGTAACACAACATGTAAAACTCGTTTTCAAAGCAATCTGATTTTTTAATGATCTTCATTTTTACGATATATTCTACTTTAACTTTTCTTCTGTGTTACAAATTTTAATTAACTCATCGCCATAATGGTCGCTGATAATGTATCGTATTTCAAAGTAGCCTGGAGGCACGAGTTCACGAAGGCAAAGAGCCACTTTTAACAAGGTTAAGATGCAGCGCTCCGTCACCGTTATCTTACTATACCTTTTTCAAGGGAACTATAATCACCATTCGTTACGAGTGTTGGGCCATGAAAAAGAATTAATCTTCACTTATTGCAAAAATTCTAACGTATTCTATTCAGATCTCAGGTGTACTTTTTATTTGCAGCTGCGTAGTTCATTTTGGACGAGCTCATGTATAGGCTCTTTAGGTTTAACATGGGCCCAACGTTGGATGAAGATTTTTTTGTGACATTACGTGATCATGTGAGTTATAGACCTATTTCATGAATCACTGGATAACTATCACCACAGGCTTGATAGATAACGAAGTTTGGATTTAATTCCATATTTATCCAGCACTCTAGTGCTGCTTCATCTTCACAGCGAAATATAATGAGTCATGAAATTTAATAAGAGTTGAGAACGTAATAATATGATTTACTACATTGCTTTACGTGTTTTTTGGAGAATTAGGTATAAGGCTTTGCATATGTTATTTACATAAAAATGTTTACAATTTCATGACAACTTTGGTCCAGAATTTCAACTTAAGCTCAATTACAAATAAGTTATGCAAATTACAATGCAGAAGTGTTAGAGATGTGTTTAGAGACTATCTAGTCTGATGCGCTTAATATAAGAGCTGTAGATAAAACGAATGGTATTCCGAGATCCACGAGGAAAAATAAAATTGAAGGCAGTTATACAAAAAGCCTGACCAACGACTGAATGGATGTTTGTCTGAAGATAAATCTTAAAAAATCGAAGGTAACCAGATCCATGTACCAGAACTAGTCAGCTTTGTGTGATGCAAAATTACTTTTGTTACGCCTTCATGGCCTTCTTTTCTTTCTTCATTACTTTCTTTACGCCCATGTTTTTCACTGAAATGAACTTTGTTTCACATATATACATTTTTGATTATTTTATTTTTGTTTTGAAATAAAAGAGAGATGAATAAACTCTTATAAATGATGGTAGTTTCATACTAGTCAAACTTTAACCCAATCCATATTAACCATATATATGTTTCATATTGTGCGAAAGTATGGGGCAGAACTTCTTCACTTGAAGGTAAATTTTGACCAAATATTGAAAAAATAATGATGTTATTGTGAAGTGGTTGAGAAGCCTCAATATGGTTTTGACCCTCTACCGCCTAACACGAGTAACCGGAGCAATATTGTCACAAGCCTACTTCCCTAAAAGGATAGGTTCTAGTGAGCGCAAAATAACTTGCACTGATGGTTGCCGCCACGTACAACTTTAAAATGTTCTCTGTTGCGTACAAACGTAATCAGGTTGTTACACCTAATAGTTTACGTATAATTTAAGTTGAAAGTTATGTTCCCGCAGAGTGACATACGGCGGTACAGGGTTATTTCAATTATTAAAACTCTGTTTTCAAATTAAGATGCACTAAATATTAATGTATTAAATGCCATTAGATAGCTGATCAGCTGATAAAGCTATTAGAAAGCATTAAGGAGACCCACTACCCTCCGGAAAAACTTCTACAGTTATTATCCGATCATCATGAAACTTCACATACATGCGTAAAATGTAAAAATAAGAATATTTTGCTCCTATAAAATTTTCGAAAAAATTGATAGAAAACGTGAAATTCATAGAAAACTGATAAAGAGGGGTACTTTAGAAAATCTATCTCCTCCTACAAATATCATCCTACAACATCGAGACACGTATCATTCTATTCGTAAAGACCATACCTATAGACTCTGTGATCACTTTTTTCATTTTCCCCTTAGTTTTTTTTATGCGCGTTTTATCCCATTTTTCCCCTTTTTCCCCCCTCCCCCCCCTTCTCCCCCATATAAAAAACGAACCATACTGAAATTCAAAAAAGTGATCACAGAGTCTATAGGTATGGTCTTTACGAATCGAATGGTATATGTCTCTTTGTTGTAGCTTGAAAACTGTAGGAGGAGATAGGTTTTCCGTGACAGTAAGTTGAACTTTTCAAACTTTTCAGGACGGCACGACAAAGTCCCGTGCGCCTCGAAATAGGCACTCAATGTAGCATGGATACCAAACTACAGGCTTCTGCAGCTTAATCCACTCAAGGATGCTAGCAGCAACTTGTAGCGCACCTCTACGTACAATGTTAGGAGGGTAACTGAGCTCAGATGCCAGATACACTAAGATATGTAGTCTTGCCGCTGTAATTTTCTTAGGTCTATTTAGTGAAGGAACTCTACCCCCCGCCCCCAATTAAAGCCCGGCCGTGTGCGTCAATATTGCCGTACATGGATCGCAGTAGTATCGTTGGAAAGCTCATAATGTCAGCTTTAAGATGAGACTAAGCATGTAACTGCAGCACAACTCAAGTAGAAACTATATTCAAAGATTTCAGCAGCTAATTACTTTATATATAATTACTTAAAGAACTCTCTCACCCGCTTCCCTTTAAAGAGACGTCATGAACGTAAATATCGGCGTACAGCGATGGCAGTGGTACCATTGGAAAGAGCAGAATTCCAGCTTTCAGATGAGCACAAAAACCGAAAAACGCCATAATTGAAAATTTTAGGGTAGTGGGTCCCCTTAAATTTGGGCCAATGATACCAAAACTGACATCTGACGGGAATTCTGCAAAAAATCACATGAACGAGTGGAAAAATAATCATTGCGTCAAAAGAACTTAGGAAATCCGATATATTTAATCTTAGGATAAAGTTCATTTCAAACGTATAATTTTCGACACTGCACGAGTGTGAGACTGTACGTGTTTCTTATATTATTTGAGTCAATCTTTCTTATTTGAGTTGATTAAAATCGTAGTTTCATATATTTTCTCATCAATCATTATATAGCTTACGATTGTCTTAACTCTTTATTTCCTAACCAACTTAGGTGAAACCTAGAGAGAATTGCCGTCACTGTCTTGAGTTTATTGCAACTTTAGGTTTCGCGAAACTATTCGAGTCACCAACTTTATGCATTTCCGAATAATGTCGAGAAATAAAATTCAAGCTTTCTTCTATGTCAAATTCCGAAGCTTTGACTTTATAGTCAAAAGACCAATGTAAAATACTTATGTTCTCGTCAACTTGTAGCAATAAATTAATTTCTTTGACGAGCCAATTTTGAACTGTGAAAACTTGCATTTTCCATTTTTCTTAATTAAAGATAAGACAACAAATATGATAGTCACAAATGAAACTCGGTCTCCACCAAACTCGAGAAAATATTAATTTTGCACCTGTGCAGTGCCTGTGAAAATTTAAGGTACGTGAAATTGCTGATTTCTGGATAAATTAATATCCCAAAAACAGCCACAAATTGAGTTCTTTCTTCACCAAACTCGAAATATGTTAATTTTCCTGCTGCACAGTGGCTGTAATAATTTAGGTGTATGAATTTAGTCCATTGTGATTTAGTTAATTGACGTTGGGTCTCCTCCAAACTCGAGAAACATGTTGCGTTGTCTCCTGTGCTGTAGCTTTATTGATTTCATGCATGTATAAGAGTTGAGTCGTTTCCTAATTAGTTAATGAACCTCAACGGTCACAAATTAAGTTGGGTCTCCATCATGCTCTTTAAAAAACTCTTTAATTCCAATAGGATAATTTTAATTAAAGCCATGAGATTAAATCCCTAGCAACGACTTCACCTCGCAAGTTGCTGGTAAACACCACTTTTTTGAGGTGATGATCTGCGCAAAAATTTTCCACAGAGCGCGCATAACCTCTCAGTGGTTTGATAGAACAACGCTGCAGAAGGTTTCCTTAATACTTCATCCGTGTTGTTTCATCTGATTAACATTCATACCTTGTCACTCGTTATGTGCAGTGATAAAAATTATAATTGTATTCAAATTGAATAATTTTTTGACACGTCAACCTATAAATTTATATTACAATGTATCATCGTATAATAAGATGTACAATATCATCGTATTTAACTCTGCTTCCGAGACTGCGTACTACCATACAATTTTTCATGATGCTCATTAAGGAGAGCGTCTTGGCCACAGAAAAAAAACTTTTTTATTTACTGTTTGAAATCTGAGACTGTTTTGTTCGAGTAAATTTTTCGAAAAAGATGAAATAACGTGAAATTCGCAGAAAACTCATTCAATTAACGTGCGTCAACATCCAGAGACATATTATTAGATTAGTAAAAACCATGTCTAGCAATCATCAGGTAACATTTTCCAAATTCTAATTTTTTGGGTGGGAGGGAGGATTTTTTTCAAATTATCGTCACCCCACCCCTATTTTTTAAAATATTTTTCTTAAGTTTTCGCCCCCACAACCGTTTTTTCAATATATAATCCAAAGTAAGACGAAATCCAATAAAAGTGACCTAGGAATCGACGAAGATTTCTTTCACGAATCGAATGGTAAATCCTTGAGTACTGTAGCTTAAAAATCATAGGAGTAGATAAATTTAAAGATAAAAATTCAAATTTTTCGGTTGGGAGCGCAGCCGTTCGACCGTAGGCTGATTCGACACACGGGACAGATACGGACGGCTCCGGCGCGCTCCGTCCGGGTGGTGTAAATTTTTTTTCGCGTATTGGCAGACGATGCTGGGCCCTTCTACGTCAGGCTACTTTTCTGTGGGCTGATTGATCTAATTCAGTGGATGTGATCTGTCTGGTGGCGTGCGGCTGATAATGTTAGAGTCAGAAGTGTTATAGGCTACGTTCTTGAGGGAAGGGATCATGATAGTCCATTCGAAGCCCGGTAGTGGCGGTCTCGGACATGCGTCCAGGGAGAAAGTCTTTGCTCATCTACAAACCTCGAGTTAGCCTCGAGCTAAGGCTAAGGGATTCAATCAATTTTTTAGCTACTCCGGTAAGTTGTTTAGACAAATATGAAAATTTCTCGAAAGGAGACATTATATTTTGCAATCAAATTTTCAAAAGAGACAAGGAATTTGGTATATGACTCATGCTTGCCGTCAAATGTTGGAAGCTCAATATGTGGTAATGTTACCTTATGGCTGATGGCCCTAGGACTATTAAGAACAGGCTCAACAGTAGGCGCAAGAGATGCCGTCTTATCCTTCAAAGTCAAAATACACATTGATATTTCGTCAACATACCCTTCATTGTTTTACATTCAGTGATATACCGTGCTGGATCCCAAGATCCATCTTCTAGCATTTTACATGAAATAGATTCGTCCAACTGGACCAATGCACGCTGAGATCAGATAATTTATCGATACAGAAAGTACAATCTCGATCGGTCAAACATCCTGTTACATCCAACAAACTTCTTGGTCTAATCAGACGCTCTAACGAGTTCCTAGCTGCAGAAGCGATGAAGCAGTTGTTTGTTGCTGTCGTGTGCCCGAATCTAGAGTTGGGAAACGTTGTGTGGTAACCGAGATTTGAAAAGGACAGAAATTTAATAGAGAATGTTCAAAGACGTGCAACAAGGATAATTCCAGGCTTGAAGGGCAAGTCCTATNATACAGAAATTACAAACAGACGTCACTGCAATGCACGATTGCATCAAGCCTCGACAGCTTCACAGTAATGATTATATACATGGGTTACAACAGCACTTATAATAGACACGTGACACAAAGACAAGGCTCACCACTGGCAGAAGGCGTGAGGGATGTCGGGAAGCGAGAGTCTGAGCACGTCCTGTCATGGTCGCCATGCACTAAATTTCTGGGGAAGGTGAAACTAAGAGTCGAAACAGTGCACCTGATTATTGAAAAGATTGAGTTCTTTGGCAAGTTCCAAGGTCCCTGACTCAGACTCCGCTCCAGGCACCCTCCACCTTTAGCGCCACTTCACGTCTGTAGAAATAAAACATAAAGAGTTCTGATCAATTGAAAATCTTACAGAATAAATTTAGATTAGAATTCCAAATTGAAAATGTGAATTGACCAGACAATGAAGCATTTAATTTAATGGATCGTGCTCAGAAGATCGGAAAGTATTCCATACTGAACGAGAAACAATAGCACTCCCGGAACCGTGCCGTGTTCTCACCTTAAACTAAAGGCCATCAGTGCGCAGATCGTCCCTCACCACTTCTCGGCTCCCCCATAGCCAACCGCCTAGTCAAGTGACAAGCCAGGCCAAGCGCTGCGTTGTAGATGGCTGCGCTGCTTTACGTGTGTGCTATGCGCTCATTGCACGGAGAGAAATTCCATAAGAAAAGCAAGCCTAACGTGTGAGCTAGCCCCCAGTCAAAACTGCTATGCTGCCATAGGCCGTGCTGCGCCGACCGATAGGTCTGGTCTGAGATGAGTGGCGTCTAGGAATCTACTGGCCAGTAATCAGTTACTAACCTACTACGGGCGCGATTACAACATTCAAGCGTATGCTGTTTTCACGGCGTGGGAGGGCTTTTGGAATTTTAATCTTTACAAGATCATTGGTATTAATATACAAGTTTTTAAATTGCACAGCAATTTTGTACATTTAGTGTGGTTTAGTGTGGTTTAGTTTGTTTTAGTGTGGTTTAGTGTGGTTTAGTGATCACATACCGGCAATAACCGCAAAAGGTAGACAACAGATGGGGTGGATCTGGCGGACGTTCAGAACGAGAGAAGCGGAACCGATGATCACACTCTTCAGAACCCTTGTAATACCTATCCTTGAATACTGCTGCCAGCTCTGGACTCCGTTCACACTTTGCGCAATACGGCAACTGGAAGGAGTCCAACGAACCTTTACTTCCAGGACCAGAGGCATGGAGAATTTTAACTACTGGGGGAGGTTACAGCGACTGAGTCTGTACTCACTGCAGAGGAGACGGTAGAGGTATGTCATTCTGTACACATGGAAAATGATAACCGGAATGGTGCCAAACTTCGAGAGCGAGACCTTCAAGATTCAGACATATCACAACGAGAGAAGGGGGAGACTGTGCAAGATCCCTCCCCTGCGTAACAGATCCGCAGTCAGATTTCAATCCCTACGAGAAGGATCACTCTCCGTGGCAGGACCAAGGCTGTTCAACGCCCTACCTAGAGATCTAAGAGAGATGAGTTCACCCTGGAGACCTTCAAGAGACAGCTAGACGTGTTCCTGAGCACAATTCCAGATCGACCTCCCCTGCAACACTACCAGCGGCGAGAAGCAAGCAACAGCATCGTGCATCAGGTGGCCCAAATGAGGGCGGATGTGTGGTAACCGAGATTTGAAAAGGACAGAAATTTAATAGAGAATGTTCAAAGACGTGCAACAAGGATAATTCCAGGCTTGAAGGGCAAGTCCTATGAAGAAAGATTAAAGATTCTGAAGCTTCCAAGCCTCAGTTATCGACATCTGCGTGGGGACCTCATTGAAGTATACAAGTATACTCATGGTTTATACAAGGTCCCCGAAGGATTACTAGAATTTGAAACAAGAACCAACACCAGGGGCCACGGCTATAAATTAAAAAAACTGCGCTGCAACTTGTCCGCGCGACAGCATTTCTTCTCGCTTCGAATCACCGACATGTGGAACAGCCTCCCTGATTACATCGTTGACGCTCCGAGTATGAACGCGTTCAAGATCAGACTAGATACAGCTATAGAAAAATATATGTTCTGATTTAAAATGCCTAGCTCCTTATCGAACCGGTGGAAGTCTAGTAGCTATCTCAAACTATCGTCAGTCTTGAAAATATCCGGTCAAATAACAAGATTTTAGATCTTCTATGAACATGTCACGAAAAGTTCAAGATTCGGCGACACGCCACATCAGGCCTACTCTTTAGCGCCGACATCACTATGTTATGTTATGTTAAAGTGTCAAGCGACTCTTCGACTTTAGCTATGGCCTTGGTAACCGCTTGTCGTTTACCAGCACGCCTAGTCACCAACAGCCCAGTCAGCATGGCTTCTCAGAGAAAGCAGTGTTGTTTAATCTTCAATTAATTGATATTAAATATTCAAACGTCGTATTCTATTAAATAGCTTCTAACAATAACCTGCATTTTGATCTGCCAACTCAGGCAAAAAATTTCGTTCGGCTCATTGAAGAAAAAAATTATTAAGAAAAGCATTCTCTGGTCTTCAAAAAAATTTTCATAAGGAAGAACCTCTGTTGAACAATACCATTATGTGATTATGTAATATGTCAAATATTTACCGAATCAGCAATTTGACATAGAAGCCTAGTTCAGTATGTAGCTTACTTCAACCAAACCAGCCGCATTATCATTATTTGGATCATGCAACGATTGATTCCTCTTCTATTTGATGGAATGATCTGTAAAGGGCAATGTAAAAATAACAATCGGTTTCTCAAATCATAGGTACTACAAATGGTAAAGCTCGTTTTATTTGTCATGTAGCTAGCCAGAAAAGCCTGTATTACAAAGAGAACAACAAATGTTGAGAGCCCAGAGTTGTTCTTGATCTCTCAACTTACAACAAATGCTTAGCTACTTCATCACTGCAGTGTGATAGTAAGTTTCTGTGAAAGCAAATCCTTTTGCCTCGGATGTAAATGAACGAATCCATAGTATTAACACACTTTACTGGTTTGTTTTATTGAAATTAGGTAAATAAGGTCACTATATTTCAAAATGTGATTTCAACCAAATAGATAAAGAAAATGGTATGAAAAAATGAAACAATGAATTCGGTTACAGAGGAAGTTAATACATACACTGGAAAACCTTGAAATCGACCGAAATAGCATGCTTTTATAACTTGGAAACTAGTGCTAAACGAATTTTTCCAGCATCAGATGCGTGTTTAGTACCCTCGAATTAATAATTTTAGCTACTCTTATTTCTATAACAATTTCATTGTTGTCAGGTGAAATAATAGAAGATGCACACATGCCTGTGAGTCGGCGCGGTCGTTGTCATTGCTGCTCTCAGCACTATTAGCCAGTGCTTATCCCAATCAATCATCAGCTATGGAAAGATCGGGTTCCAAAAGATCCCTTGTGAATCAAGTCACGAAAAATTCAGGAATCGGCGAAAGGCCATGGGCCTATTTCTTCAACGCCGACACTTCTATTCTATTCTATTGAGTTGATGTTGAGTGCGAAGTGATTATTTATATCGAATAAATGATTGATTCACCTTCTTCAATCCTTCCACAATCTCTGCGTTAGATATTTTTCGAGGTATAAGCTTTCAACCCTGAATCCTGCATGATGCGATCGACAGGTTTAATATGATATAGAAGGCGTAATCGCTGAATATTTGAACGCAAACAACGAGTATATCTTATGTGAACGCTACAGATCAAGTGCCTAAAGTTGATATAATATGAATGGTTGGGGTTATAATCGGAAAAAGTGATATATAGAGGTATTATATTTATCCATCTGCTCTCAAAATCCCTTAATTACCCGATTCTCGGCCGCATCTGATGGATCTATTGTTCGCCGCTTGTCTGCATTTCACAGTCTTCAGCGCCTCCAGCTTTCAAGTGTCATGTCAGCAGACTTCTGACCAATGTCAGGAATCACAATAACCTCAGTCCGAACAACAGTTCCCAACCCACGGTTGGCGAAGTGCCAATATCTAAAATTCGTCGCCGGAACTACCTTAGCCTTCAAATTAACAGCCTTCAAATTAACCTCTTTAGATTGATTGAAAATACAGCTTTTAGTGATGTTTAGCGACAAAAAACTAACTTGTGATTACAGATTTCTCTACAGATTTCTTTATTTTCTACTCGCACTCTACATCTCTTACCGTCTATGGTATATACGTATATTAGACATCAAAATTTTCTGTCGAGATACAGTATCTGTCTTCGAACCCATTCAAACCATGATTTTGAGTATGGATACAAATCACTATGAATTTATTTTATGGTGAATTAATCTAAGAATTTATTCAGTTCACGTTTGTCTGTTAAATGAGTCAGTCAGTTACAATCACCAACGAAGAAGACCGTGCCCTTCTCAAAAGTCGGAGTCTTCCAGGTCTGAGTGAGATGCGTCTCAGTTTTGAACCACTGCTGAGAATCTGCATGAATAAAAGAGAAGTTTTACTGCAGAAATGTATAGATAATACTGAAGTGGGATGCGAGTCACTGAATATTTACAGGGGTAAAGTTTCAGAAAAGAATTAACGTAAGGCTATGTTGTGGGAAGCTTTGCACTTTGTTCATTAATATGGAAAGGCAGCAATTAGAGAACAGCAAGTTTTATTATTTACCTCACGATTACCATTCAACTTGAGTCATCCCGACTGAAATATATTCAGAAACGCATGTGTCAAAACATCGATTTATATACATTTGCTCTGACTCATCAATTAAAAAATTTATCAAGATAAAGCGACAGTGCAACAGAGGCCTTCACGACATACTTCAATCTTTAATTCGCCTACCAACAGCTTTACTGATGAGCCCGAGGCAGGTGTAGTAGGCGCCGTTGCAGTGGTTCATCATGTCGGCGTAATACATCGTCTTGGGGTCCCAACCGACCACGTCGTAAGACCCGAAGTCCACGTTGATCAGTTGTGAGAAGGAGCAGTCTGCACAGTATGAACGGGACTTGAAAAACCCACGGATACTCTCTGTACAGCATCAACGGGACTTGAAAAATCCATGGATACTGTCTGCACAGCATCAACGGGACTTGAAAAATCCATTGATACAGTCTGCACAGTATCAACGGGACTTGAAAAATCCATGGATACTGTCTGCACAGTATCAACGGGACTTGAAAAATCCATGGATACTGTCTGCACAGTGTCCACGTGACTTGAAAACTCATTGTGTAGAGTGATGCACCCTATCGGACTTCTCTCTGATTGGCAGCGCCAGACACATACACTGAGTGGGTCTGCTTCTCGTGTAAATTATAAACATATACGACTCTAGACATTGGTTGAAAATTTTAGATGTCAAAATGCGATATTTAAATTACGTGATGAAAGTTTGCCTCAAAGATGGAACTAGTGATTATGTGTTAAAAGCCAACTATTGTAGAAACTGGCCCACCTCATTTTGGCGGAATAGGTGCACGCTCTGTACGCGCATGATCAACCTAAAATTATCTGAAAATAACACTCTATTTATTATAATATTATTTCGAATAAAAACTTTTCACAATTGTAGAAAATATTGTCAAGTTCAAGATTCCCGAATGACAACGAAAAAAACCTCAGGTCACACTAAGTCGTCTCCCAATTGGCATTTCATTATTTTAGAGTTAGACGATGATTGGGAGGTCAACATATGTACAGCCTTTCAGCCTATAGGCTGGTAATTATCTACCATATATATTCTTAGAATGAAATAGAGAGAGTAAATTATATTTTCAACGCGGCCAAGTAATTAGTTGAATTGAAGAATAGACATAGCACGTGCAATAAGTATTCTTCAGAAATTGCTATTTCATGGCACCAAATGTTTAAGGTAATACGTGAAACAAGTTCAAATATTTTTTCTTCTTGACGCATGACCTGGTTGATTTTATTCTTTTAATTTTAGTGAAAAAATCATCATGAACATTTTCCGGCTGACTTAAAATCTAGCATAAAACCTTTGGTAGGAGCTAAGTGGACAAAAGAATTATTTCAGAAAAAGAATGTTTCTGTTCCATTAACACCATTAGTAGAATGAGTCAAGCTACGTACTTCCTGCGATAAACCCGTAGTGAAGTCATTTTCCACAAGTTTCGTTAGAACTGACTAATTTCGCTCTTAAAGCCCATTAGAATTCCATGTTGATGGACTGAAGTAATATTGTCGACGTTTGCATATCGTGAACTTAGACGATCCACCAGGTCTGGCACTCAACCATGGAATGCACTCAAGTTCTCTGCTGGCTTAAATCTCCTAATGCACGAATGTCGTATGCTGTCTCCCGTTACCAGGGAAACAGATGTGTGGTTTTCATGTTCTAACTCAATTCCATTTGCAGCGAAACTATATTTTTTACATGCCGGAAAGCGGTTAACGTCATTTCGAGGGCAATACTATTTTCGTAAGGCTTTTATATTTTAAATTCATAGTAAAAGTTTAGGGCTTATAATCATTTTTACAATCTATTTTCATGATCATGCTCTTCACTTACTAATTAATGCATTTATTATTGTGGAATATAATATGAACAGTTCGCGTTAAACTATTTAATTACATTACTAGTCATAATTCGATTAGTTACAAATTCTACATTATATCCAATTCTTCTAGACTTTAAAGCCTTGCATCCACATTAAACGTATTTTCACTGACAGTTCTAAATTTTAGGTTAAAATTCTGGCACTCACTGTGGTTTTCCACATATCTGGATAATTTTTTACGGCTTTCACCGATAATCATGATTTATCCCTGCAATTACTTATATCGGTAATGAATTTTATCCGCTACGCTCACCGTGGATTTTCACATTTGAAGCATAATTATGTAAATGCACGTTAGATTACATCCATAGAAAATGTTTGCTATGCTGAACGTTTGTTACTAATTACATTAGTTACATTTATTTTTTGTCTTCTTTTACTGGAATATAAGCACTAAATACTCAACATGTAAGTCGACTTCAGCACTCGCTCAGTCTTGTAGTGAAGTACATAGGTACTATTATCATCCCTCCAGCTCGTTGATACTCACTGGTTCATCCCATGCTGTGATCATTCCCCCAGCCCGTTGATACTCACTGGTTCATCCCATGCTCTGATCATTCCTCCAGCCCGTTGACACTCACTGGTTCATCCCATGCTCTGATCATTCCCCCTGCCCGTTGACACTCACTGGTGTGGCCTTGGGCCCGTTTGTTGATGAGGTACCAGTGACTGGAGCAGGTGTAGAGGCGACGTCGGGTCCTCACAGGATCTCCAGGTCGGCGGGAATACGTGAGGCACACGGAGGCGGGCTCGCACGGGTCGTATGAGCAAGGGTCCTGTGGTGGGACAACGGAGGCTGTACGAACCATTTTATACAACGGCACAAATGCTGGTACACAAGGCACGGGTAACGTTATCCAACAGAGCAGATTTTTCATACCACGTTTCAGATGCTATTGTACAATTCGCGTGTACCGTTATCCAACAAAACGGGCCGTTTCATACAACGGTGCACATCTGTTATAGATGGCAACGGCTTCTGTTTTTCAACAGTACGGCCCGTTTCAAACAACGAGACAGATGCTTACATGCATCTCAACCTGCCTGTCCCGTGACATAAGGTATAACGAGTCTCGTTAAACAGAGCTCGGGCTCAACCTAAATTAGAGCAAAGAAAAGTAATCTTTTCATCGTGATCATGCCTGCAGACATTGGTAGATAAATATTATTCATTCAGGTCTAATAATGAATAATATTTATTATTTATTTTTAATATTCCTTATAGGTGGCTGATCGTTCATGATCAATGATTAAATTCATTATTTAATATCAAAATTCTTCGATGCGACATGTCAGTGTACTAAAAAAATCCACGAAAACTCTCATTTGAGCTAGTAAACTACACGTTAAAATCCCAGTACTTATCCGCGCTGCTCATTACTAAAGTTTTATTTAACATTTTTTGCTAACAAGATATAGTACCTGACATACAATGTATAGTATTTCCTGTTATTTAATTTCACATCTCAGTACAAAAACATTTAATGCTGAGCATACGTCCAGGTACGACATGGCTGCCAAGTGTTTCCACCCTGACGCTGGAGTGGGGCTGGGTACAGGGTTTCTGCCGCGGGTCAATTGCAGCGTCTCGCACTCCTGAGTTTGGCCTGCAAGTATTGCTTACGCTGACAGCCGTGCTTAATTTCAGACTGTGAATATCATCAATGTATAGTGAAAGATATGATGTATAAAAATTTATATTGTAGCAATAAAGGAGATAGTCGTTTGGCAATGCTCAGAAAGTGAAATTTTCCCTGAATGTCTGCTATATAGTGTTGATTGCAACTTGCAAGTCGATTATTCCAAGCGGCATGATTTCTCTTTGCTCTGTCACGATGATTTGGGACGGTAATGTTCAAAACTGACAAAAAAGTGAAAAAGAAAACAACTCAATTTTTACAAACCACAAAGTCTTCAAGTAACTTTCTGAAACTCAGTGTGATAACTGGCATGAAGATAATCAATCCGTGTGACAAGTTGTCTAAATTTAAATATATAAGAAATGAATAATTTAGCTGAATAATTTCATTCAAATAATACTGGCACTCTGTGGGTGGCAAAGTTCAGTTTTGTACCATAGCAAATTGACCATATATATTTTGAATATGTTCCATACTTGCGGTTTAGATATTTATGTACTTAAATCAAATGATAACATTTAACTTTATGGCAATTATTTATATGGAGTTCTTCATGTCTCATTATATCAATCAATAAACCAGAAACAATTCAGTGTTGTTAACTGCATTTTCAGTAAATTCACGTATAGTTCGATTGGATTTGGTAATTGTGCGCTGTCTACTTACGGTTGTAGTTGACGGCGTAGCACTTTGCAAAAATTGCGCAGTGTTGAACGCAACGAAACATCGAAATTTGGCTGGTGCTGCTGGCGATGCCCACAGTCTGGCGAATGTCTGATCCTGTCAACAAAGCGTATACGTACTATTTATTCTTTTGGTACCTTTGATTTACATTGTAGCCGCGCCTCATGCGTCTCTAATTTTTGTACCGCGATTTTCCTTGTCATTTTTTTGCGAGCATTCAACAGTTATTCTTGTATTTGTTCTGTTAAATTTGTACCCATTTTTCCATTAATGTTTTTTTTCTTTCGATCTTTACTAGCATTTTCATTTAGAGAAAAAGCCTGTTTATCCTGCTCTTCCGAAGCGCGTTGCACTTCTGATGTTGAATCCTTCGGGAATAGTTGTTTGTGATATTTGTAAATTGTTATATTGTGACATCTAAATTTATGTTGTGATATTTGTGAATAGTAATTTTACTAGGAATAACTATAATTGACTATTATTGCTACATCTTAAGTTTGTTATTCTTTGTTTACAGAACCTAACTCAATTATCACGATTAGTTAGCTTCAGTTCGAGCCATCCGCTGGATTTATTCCGAGTTCACTCTAGTTCACTTTACGTTCATTTTGAGTTCATTTGTTCGTTCTTGTTTCTACATTCATCAGTATCCACTAGTGCCTTCGTTACCAATAAAGTGTCAGAAATCCTCAAGTTCACTTCCCTGCTCGTTTAAAGTTTGGCTGTCTGGCTGGCGCTGAAGTAAAAGCGTTCGGACGTCACCGTCGCGCTTACAACATGACAAAGAAACGAATAATCACTCATTTATTGATCGTAAAATGTTTTTGATCGTGGTTTCCTGTGACAAGAATCTGATAAAGATTGAAGAGAAAGAAACCGTGCTCTTCCAATTATTTAAATACGTTTCTCCTGTTAAATATCTTTGCCTAAAGTTTAAAGTTCTATGTTAAGGCTGATTGATTAGCAGAAAAAATAATTGTTGTGGATTAGGTTAGGGGTGCGGCAATCAAGAATGGCTTTCGTGACCGGGGCACAACCTATTGAGAAATGAGTTATAATAATAAAACTAGATGGAACAATTAATACTAGATTACGTTATACTTTCAACTCGAGTATATATGACCTGTAGTTATAGTTAAATTATAGATTAAGAATGCCGGATCGAATTCAGTGACAAAATGTACCTTTTGTGGCCTTTTTTACAGTATAGATACTGAATTGAGAGGAAGAAATATTGAATAAATCTTGAAAAATAATTAAATCCACTGATCACGAATTTCGCGTAATAAAATCATGCATTAATTTACTTCAGTCTTCTTTGTTCCTGGCGAATGTTTTCGTTCTAGTTATTGAAATTCAATATTATATTGACTCATTTCATCAGCGTATTTTTATCGTTTATTTGCTGGTGAGAACGAAGGACAGTAAGAGATAACCGTCGTCAACTCAGCTACGTAAGAATAACATAGCACGCGGAACAGGCAAGGATAATAGCCGTAACAGATAGGAATAACATAGCAGGCGTACTAGGCCGGAATAACGTAGTCCACTTGAAAAATAGGAATAACAAGTCACGTGTAACAGGCAGGAATAACATTGCACGTGTAATAGACAGAAATAACATGTCACGTGTAACAGGCAGGAATAACATTGCACGTGTAATAGACAGAAATAACATGGCACGTGTAACAGGCAGGAATAACATTGCACGTGTAATAGACGTGTGAGGAAGCTTGGCTGTGCTGCTCGTGATCTCTCAGCAATTACGTGATATAAACGTAGAGGTTGTCTCTTCAGCGCCACTATTTCCATGGGCATTTAAATTGTAAATCCAACAATTTCTAATATTTTTTCCTCGTGATTTTGAAATGAGCATGTGATTTCAGTAAACACGAACACATATTTAATCATAATTATCGAAGGCTTAAACTTTTAGAAATTGCACTTAATTTTTGTTGCAGTATGCAACATTTATGCAGTACCATAATAAATACTAGTAAATAAGAATAATGCTTACAGTTTAGAGATATCAGCTAAAATAAATTACCCTCACTCGTTCATAATGTACATAATTTTAGCGTTACTACGTAGGGTATAGTCTTCGCAAAAGACGCATGTAACTCACCGTAGTCGTTGTACCAAGTGTCCGTACGGCCCCAGCAGAGCCGTGCCGCTGCCCAGAGCAGCAGCAGCACACGGCCTCCAGGTCTCGCTGGCGCCATTGTGAGACTGACCTTCCGGTCAACAGACATGCCACACCGACAATGTTTGAGTGTGGCAATTTGAAATATCTTGATTATCAACAGAGCTGGGCAGCGTTACTTTGAAAAGTATAGCGTCCGCTACTATGCTCTAAATGTAGCGGGCGCTACCGCTACCGCTACATTGCTTAAATGTAGCGCCGCTACCGCTACATGTCGAGCGCTATTGCCCACCTCTGACTATCAAGATATTTTAACTTCATCGTAAGTCACGTGACAATATAGAAGTCACATGTCGCTTTTCGATTGCGAAGGAAAGTTTGAAATTTGATTCAAGGATGGCTGACGGGGCAAATAATTTGAGAGTTTGGACATCATGTACGTGCTCGTGGTCGTGGAGAGATTGGTTTTGCGTAATACGAAGATTAAAGTTTTCGCCCAAGATTATACATTTAGAAATCCAACTTATATCCCTTTACCGCCAAATCGGACTTCCAAGTCGCCTTTAAAAAAACAATGGTTTTCTAATAATTTCACGTTTTCTTTCATTTTTTCGAAAAATTCACACGAACAAAAAAAATCTTAGATTTATTTTTTACATATGTGTACGTGTACCAAGTTTCAAAGTTATCTTCCTGTAAATAAACGAAATAAAATTTACAATTTCCAATGGCAATTTCCAATTTCTTGTGGAAATTTTATTTCGGTTATATACAGATGGATCACTTTGAAACTTGGTACACATATGTAAAAAATCAATCTAAGACTTTTTTGTTCGTGTAAATTTTTCGAAAAAATTATAGAAAACGTGAAACTCTTAGAAAACAGCCAAAAGGGGGATACTGTTATAGAAATCCATCTCCTCCTAGGATTTTCAAGATACAACATCGAGACGCATCTCATTCGATGCGTAAGGACCATATATATCGATTGGTCCTTGCTGTTTTTCAAAATTCAAATTTTTGTGTGTAAGGTGGGTATTTTTCGAAAAAAATTTTGATTAAAAGGGTTTGGGGAACCCTTTGAAATTTCCCCTCCTTTTTTCAAAATATTTTCAAAATTATAACGAAATTGAAAAAAGCTACGACAAATCTCTAGATCTTTTATTTGCGAATCGAACGGCATATCTCTCATTTCTGTAGCTTAAAAACTCTAGGAGGAGAAAGGTTTGCCATGACAATAAGTGTGAATGTTCAGTAGAGCGCGGCAAAGTCCCGAGCGCCTCGAAATAGGCATTCAAGGCGGCATGGATACAAGACTAGACGTTACTGGAGCTGAAATCCAGTCAAGGATGGTGGGAACGACTGCATGAGCACCATCCCACACGACCGCAGCCGGGTAACTAAAGATCAGCGTCATTAGGTCGTCCATTTATGTGCCCGGCCGGTAATTTTCGCCTATCTTAAACGTGAAAGAACTCCCCCACCCCTAACCCTTTCGCGAACTGTCGTCAAGGCATAAATCAACGTACAGAGATGATTTTGGTACTGTCGGATAGGCCAGAATGTCAGCTTTAAGGTGAGACTAAAAACCGGAAAAGTTAAATTTGCGATTTTTGTCCCAGAAATTCGGGCGGTTAAAGGATATTGATGACATATGGTTGCCAAGCCCTGGGGCGGTTTGCAGCCTTTCTAGTTATTTATGTACATTCTTAAAAATTGATCCTTACTTGAAAAATTGTATTGCTATCAAACATTGAGCAAAGAAGTAAAGCGAAAATAGGTGTCCATGAATTTTTTTTGAAAACTAATTTTGAATTGTGTAATTTTGAAGACGAGGTGCCCGATCAGGAACGGGTTTCAAATCATGGTTCAAATGTTCCACTCGAGCCTTATCCATGAAGTTCTCACCCACGCTCGGTCACCCGAATTCGTACCGCGGGTACGAAGCCGTGCACCACCAAATTTATGCACCAATCACAATCAGCCTTGAAAGGAATGCCTAGCATATTTCCGGATGATCACCAATCAGCCGCGGATTAAGCCATCCGTCGGTGACCAACCCATGACATCGTCTTACTCTATATATTAGCAGCTTTACGCCACCATATTCTGAAGCGAATAGCCCAGAAAACAATGGTTGTCCACCACTGAACGTTACATCGAATGAAGGTGGATAGCTAGAGGTCAGCATAGCCCAAGTACACAGTGCGATTCATATACACCTTCGCGAGCGTAACGCAGCCGGGCATCTTCACGGCTTTTGACACAAAGCGCCCACCACAACAGCGCCGTTCAGTCGCAGGCCGGAGCGCATCCAGGCCAGAGCACAACTGACCGAAACGCAGCAGGCCCTACCGCAACAGCTACTCCTAACGCAACCTATCCTAACCTAACCTGCGCCGTCTGTTGCGGTAGGGCCTGTTGCGCTCCGGCCAGTTGGGCTCCGGCGCTGTGATGCAGTGGCTGTTTTGTGCAAAACGGATTTACTGTTAGCCGGAGTTACCAACAGCTCATTGATATTAGGCTATGTGTAGATATTGGCATTGCATGCTGATGGTTGGCGCTGAGCCCAGGGCCTGTTTACGAGTCAATTTTGTTACCCACTGCTGCGCTCTCTCGAATCATCACTTCATACCCTGACTTTAGCTCGATCTGTAACTAGCGGACAACATACTGCGACCAACCAGATCAGCCGCTAAACTTTTTTTTTACTTTTTTTTCTTTTTCTCTCTTCTTCTTCTTGCCACACATTTCCTACGACACACAGCAATCCCCTAATTGTGGCCTTTTCCTGTGTGTATCATTAGTGTTTAAAACAATCTTACATTAGTTTTACCTAGCCAAAAAACCCTAACATAACCTAACCGAACTGAACACAGCCTGACATATCCTAACCTGTCCTAACCTAGTCTTACCTCACTTAACCTTACTTCACCTAACCTTACCTTGCCTAACCTTACCTAACCCAACACGACCTAACCTAACGTAACCTATCCTAACCTAGTCTAACCTAACCTGAACTAACTTTGCCGTACCCTAATCAACCCTAACTTAACCACCCTATGTGATTGTCGCCATAGGAACTTGTTCCTGGCTTGAACCTAACCTCAGCAAATGACGTATATTTTACGACATGTTTAATTTCCTACCTGTTCTATTTCGATTCCGTGCATGATTGTGGCCGGAGTTCGCATTTCCAACACACACTGAACGTGTNTTCGAGCTATGATCGTTTCAAAAATCTCATTTTAGGTAATTTTTTGACCAAATTTTCCCCTTTTTTGGGGATTTTGGGGGGGAAGGAGTGGGAATTTCGGAAATCCGACAAGAAGGTTTGGTAGAAAAAATATGCGTACGTCTCTGTGCCAATTTTCATGAGATTCTAACGGTTGAGCTCCTGGGAAAAACGGCTCGAGTGAAAACTTTGACCTCAAACCCCCCTGTACGTGATTATACAGCAGCAGCATATCAAAAGTGGAGAGTATAAGTTTAGCGTCCGCTTCGCTGGCTGTAGGCACACAGAAAGTGAGCCGCTCCTGCCGAACCAGCCCAGCTCGCCAGTGGAAGTACATGCATCCTGCTGTGCCCTACCAGACGGTTACTTTTAGCTTACAACATCCGGGGTTAGTTCCAGAAAGCATAGTTCTGTTCCGAAATCTATCGTCCGCCGACGAGTGACTTCCTAGTTCATCGCTAAATCGCGTTACTTTTAGCTCACAGCATCTGGGGTTGGGTTTCAGATGGCATAGTTCTGTTCCAAAATTTATCGTCGTACGACGCGTGCCCGTTCGAGTGGTCCGACCGTAGGCTAGGCTCATTCGACACACGGGACAGATACGGACGGCTCCGGTGCGCTCCGTCCGGGTGGTGTAATTTTTTTTCGCGTTTTGGCAGTCGATGCTGGGCAATTCTACGTCAGAGTGTACTACTTTCCTCTTCCTGTGGGCTGACTGATCCAATTCAATGGATGTGATCTGTTTGGTAACTTGCTGCTGATAATGTTAACGTCAAAAAGTGGTATAGGCTACGCCGCTACGGCCCGCTACGTTATTGAAGGAAGCGATCATTGTAATCCAGTCGATGACTCGATGCAGGGCACCAGGGGCCAGGGCTGTGGTCAGTGGTGGTCTCCGACAGCGACAGGCGCCCCCATTTCAAACCACTGTGCTGCTCAGTGCTCAATGCTCATTAAATTGAATTGTCACATGGGATGACTGTTGACTGATGGTCATAATGTGACTTGGACCGCTTCAATCCGTACTCAATTGCATTTGGATGGAATTATAGGCTATGCTGGTTCTTAAGGAGGTATTATTGCAGATTAACTACATCCAAAAAAAAGGGTGTTTTTTTTTTTTAATTATATGTTTTTTGGGTATTATTGCAGATTAACTACATCCAAAAAAAAGGGTGTTTTTTTTTTTTAATTATATGTTTTTTGGGGTGTAGATTACGAATCTGAAATCCATTTTTGGCGGTCGGCATCGGAAAACCGATTTTTTGCAATAATACCGATCACACGTAGCGCACGACATCTTGAATGAAACTTACCCGTTGCACTGCAACGGGTAAAGAAGACGAAAATGTTACCCGTTGCACTGCAACGGGTAACATTTTCGTCTTCTTTGTCCATAAATCTGGAGATACATTGCCACATCGAGAGATCACAACCTAACGCCAACTCGCAGGTTGGGTTGGTTCGCCCAGGTTCCTTTTAGATCAAAATGCTATCTAAAAAAAGGAACTTG